ATTAGGTCTACCGGAAAGTTCTGTCCGATAGTGTCACTTCAAGTTTCAATCCATATGCACATGTTGATTTGAGACATATATGACTATCTCTCTTTATCATTGCATTTACACACATGCGCTCTCCTAAATAAACCGAAACAAAGATGTCTCATGTCATTATTAAGTGAGACGCGATCGTGAAAACATGGCTACCGATGATAATGCCAGACCACATGCTGCTTTGGCGACTCGTCAGAAAATCGCAGAGCTAGGCTGGGAAAATCTGTCGCATCCGCCATACTCCCCAGACCTAGCACCCTCCGATTATCACTTGTTTCTCTCTTTGCAAAACTTTTTACAGGAAAAAAATTCAAAACTGAAGCTGACGTCGACCAAACACTAGTTGAGTTCTTCGCCTCTAAAAATAAATCATTTTTTGAAAATGACATTCGCAAGTTGCCATCACGCTGGCAAGAAGTCATAAGTAACGATGGAAAGTACATTCTACAATAAATATTATTAAATGTATGAAAATTGTGTTATATTTCAATTCAAAAACGGACAGAACTTTCCGGTAGACCTAATATATAATTAAATTATATGTCGAAATTCGTGCTCAAAGGGCTAATGTTACGGGAAATGCAAAATTGAATATAATTAATTGATATCGGTGTCCCGCGTCGCGAATATATTGAAGCATCTCGCGAGGAAGAGACGGAGGATTCGCTCGATTTCTTCGAGTTTGTCTATGGAAATATGAATTTGTATAAGACACCGCAGTTTATTATAATGGCTGACCAGCTGTGGGGATAATTGGAACGTACGATGGTTTTCTTTAAAGAAGGCTGGCTCGAACATGGTCGTCGCAGGCTACGAATTATCCGTCGGCGACGAGTCACACGAGCGACGCTGTTCACCGCGAAATTATGATGTTGGCTGGTGTAAAAAGGGAGAGGGACTAAAACGTTATAGTGGACTCGATCTTGCGGTGGATAATTGGTACATGCGACCGTAGTGGCTTTCCTCGCCATTATAAATATCGATGGTAAATTCGAACTTTGTTCAAAGTCGCGTCGTTCTGCAGGCAAATTTCAAGGATGAGTAGGCGCTTGTCCGACACTGTTCTCCTACGCAAGGATAAGCTCTGCAATATTCCATCGGAAGATGCTGTTTTTAACGAAATTTAATAATATTCTATCAAACTCGCTTGGCAGTCGACAGAACAAAGTTTCTGGCATCTCGAACAACCAGTTCTCTTATATCGCTTAAATACAGTAGGGTTCAGTATGACACGAATTCTTCTAATGAGCTATAAATTTTGTGATCAACATTTCATATATTCTCGTACGATTTTATAACAAAATTTTTAAATATAGAAAAACGAACGGGTAATTATCCGACATCGGATCTTGATGCAAAATAAAAATTGTCTTCATTAATTGCACGATTTAGGAACTGCACAGACACTTATTCCTTTCCTTAATAATTTTAGCAAGTTTACAGCAATGCAATAATGTTTTCAAATTGTGTAAATGATTTTGCTGTTTTGCATTTGATCTACTCGTTTTCGTCATAAATGCGAAAAATTCGCAGTCAATTAATTACACTGGAAGACGTTAGATCGTAACATTGTACGATTCAGACAGCTATGAACCATCAACACTATAAAAGTGTTTCTCTGGTTTCGTTTAACTAATTATTTACCATTAATCGATTTATTTAGATAGTCCTATGGTTCTGTTAAATTATCGTTATATCATATGCTTTGTAATTTTCTTGCGAATTCTTAATTCTACAACGCTATCCTGTTAAGCTAAAACATTTGTACACTTCGACTTTACATGATCTATATTCTATATATCGTTAATAGTTCTTTCCCGTAACAAATAAATGAATAAAATAAAAACAAAATCCTAATCCCGCGACGAATACGTTGAATCATTTCTTTCGTTGCATTTGAATGGATCAGGATGCTTCACTGCTATCCGTCATTGCTCTCGTTACAAGGCGAAAAGTTTCGTATGACAGGATTTCCTGTAACGCGAATCTGTGCAACGCGTGTCACGTTACTCGCCAGTCCTCCGTCGTATAACAAAATATTAGTCCGTGTTCGCTGCAGTTTCCAAGAATGCATCGCAGCGAATTACGGGAAAGTTCGCAGCTACGTTGAAACGAGTCTAGAAACAGCCGGCCACCGATGTTCGAGAAAACGGAAGGCCAGCAGTTCCCCGAAAAGCGTCGTCGGTTCGATCGGTTCGATTGGTCGCACACGAAACTAATTTTCGAAGGAGGGACGAGCCCTGCAAGG